CCACAGAGCCATGGAATTAGGGCGTGAGTGTCTCAATCTATGGGGGTGAGTATGGGATTGCTGTGGCTGTTTTCCCCTTGGGTAGAAAAGGGACCTTGTCTACCCTTAACCTTCTGCAAGTCCTCTTCTGCCTCTTTGATCGGGGTCTGTTTTCTGTCTCCTTCTCTGGCCAATCAGGTACGAGCGGGTGGATGAGATCATCTGGGTGAAAACCAACCAGCTACAGTGTATTATCCGAACAGGACGGACAGGCCATTGGCTCAGTCACGGCAAGGAGCACTGCTTGGTAAATAGAGGAACAATTGGAGCCCACCCACCACTGCCTGCTGCCCGGGAAACATAGCCCATTAAGTCTCATGTGCCAGGTCCTTTTCCATTAAGTAGTATCACCTTGATGGGACCTAGTAGGGAGAATGTCTTCTCTGTCAGCACCTGTCGTATGGAACACCAACTCCCTACAGTTAGTCCTGGACTTACAATCACAATTGAGCCTCAAATTTCCACAGTTGTTAAGTGAGTTTTGACCCATTTTACGACCTTTCCCACCGCAGTGATTAAGCGAACCACTGCATTTGTTAGTAACACGGTTGTGAAGCAAATCTGGCTTCCCCATTGACTTAGCTTGTCAGAAGGTGGCAAAAGGGGATCGCATGACCCCAGGGACCCAGCAACAGTCATAAATACAAGTCCATTGCCGAGTCTCCGAATTTTGATCATGTGACAAAGTGTGGCAATGGCCCTAACCGTGAAAAACAGTCCTAAGTCACTTTTTTTCCAGTGCTGTTGTAACTTTGAATGGTCACTAAATGAACTGTTGTAAATTGAGGGTTACCTGTATTTGGATGGGAGGCCACCTGGAAATCCTACAGCGGCAGTCTAAATTGCACTGTTGAGATAACACTCAGGAGAAAGCAGCAGGACAGTCCTTCTGGGTTGTTCCCAAGGAGGATTACACAGACACATCTGTGAAGCGGGCAGCTGCCTTCATGGTGGCATTTCTCAACTTTAGCAAGATGGGTGGACTTCAACTCCCAGAATTCCCCAGCCACCCATGCTAAAGTTGCCAAGGTCAAAAAAACAAACAGCTGCTCACTTTATAGATGTGTTGGTGCTCCTCTAATAAGCCCGCTGTTAATTGTGCCCAGTTTTATGACTTTTTTTTTTTGGCCACAATAGGTCAGCAATCACTGTGGTTGTTAAGTGAACCAGGTGGTGCTCCTGGATCGCGTCTGACTACCTTCATTTGTTTTTGATGGACAGGTTGGAGTGAAAGGAAACCCCCAAGGCTTCAACAGAGGTCTGGACTGTGACGTCATTGTAGCAGAGGTGAGGTGACAACCCCCCAGTGCTCTTTGGTTGAGGTCCATCAATCAGAATAGAGCTGGAAGGGACCTCAGAGATCTTCTAGTCCAACCCCCTGCTCAAGCAGGAGACCCTATAGAGTACAGACCATTTCAGACATGTGGCTGTCCAGTCTTTTCTTAAAAACGGCCAGTGATGGAGCACCCACAACTTCTGAAGGCAAGCTTAATTGTCTTCATTGTTAGGAAGTTTCTCCTTAATTCCAGATTGCTTCTCTCAACTAATTTCCATCCATTGTTTCTTGTCCTGCCTATAAATGCTTTGGTAAATAAATTGACCCCCTCCTCTTTGTGTCAGCCCCTCAAATACTGGAATACTGCTATCACATCACTCCTAAGTCCTTTTTTTTCTCCAGACTAGCCAAACCCAAGTCCTGCAACCGTTCTTCATGTTTTTGTCTCTGCGCCTTTAATCATCAAAGTTGCTCTTCTTTGCACTTTTTGCAAAATCTCAACAACTTTTTTGTAATGTTGGTGACCCAAACTGGATGAAGTATTCCAGGTGTGGCCTTACTAAGGCTTTATAAAGCGGTACTAATACTTCCATGTTATTTTGATTCTATGCCTTTGTTTATGCAGCCAAGGATTGTATTGGCTTTTTTGGCTACTGCCACACACTGCTTTCTTTCTGTACCCTCTTTCCCACTAATTCCCACAACACTGTGAAACTGTTTACTAAGACTGTATTACTATTATTCTTCTCATCCTTCCTCTTGCCTATCTCCTTTTTTCGACTTATGGCTATAACTTTGTTGCTTGTATCTTTACGATTTATATTGTTTTATTTAGTTTCCTAATATTATGTATGTTGATTGCTTATTTAGTATCCTATGACTATCACTTCAGTGTTGTATTTTATGATTCACGATGAATGTATTATGACTATTATGATGATTTATCACTTATATCTTTATGTACTGAGAGCTTATGCACCGAAGACAAATTCTTTGTGTGTCCAATCACACTTGGCCAATAAATCTATTCTATTCTATTCTATTCTATTCTATTCTAATTCTACCGTTTCCCCGAAAATACAACCTACCCTGAAAGTAAGTCCTAGCTTGATTTTTACATGTCAGTCCAATATAAGCCCTACCCCAAAAAATAAGCCCTAATTAAGATCCCACCCACTCCAGAGTACACAGGTAAAAATTAAGTTAGGGTGGGGATAGGGAGGGTGGAGCTGCCCTAATACTTATCTTTGGACAATTGTAGCCAGGCCTCGTACACCCCACACCTGCCTTGCCGGCCCATTTCTTCTGCAGCCAGCAAGGCTGGCAAGGCCTCTGTAGCTGATAACAGAACCCCAGATCAATCTGGAGCTCTGTTATTGTCTGCAGAGGCCTTCAGGAAAGCCTTGCCAGCCCAGAAGAAAAAGTTCCTGAAGGCCTCTGACAGCGAAAAGGAGGCCGGGGGCAATGCGCGCAAGTGAGGTTAGTCAGTGGATGACATCCCCCGAAAATAAGACCTGGTGCCTTTTTTGGTGGCAAAAAAAATATAAAAGACAGGTTCTTATTTTTGGGGAAACACGGTATTCTATTCATGCCTTGTGAGTTGCTGCCTTAGGAAGCCTTTGAAACTTACTCTGTTGCTCTGCAGGTTCGCTCCACCAGTCACAAGCCGGATGAGATTTACAGCATGATCGAGCAGCTTTCTCCAGGCACCTGCAAGATCGAGCTGTTTGGGCAACCTCACAACGTACAACCCAACTGGTGAATGGTTTCCTCCCCTCAGGTTGTTGAACCAAACCTAGCTTGACATCTGACAGAGTAGAAAGCAAGCTCTAGTGTCCAGGCTGAAATTCAGAAAGACCTGTTTGTGTTTCACCCAACTGGGTTCCAGAATTTGGTTTCTCCCCTCACATTGTTGAACCAAACCTAATTTGAAATCTTGCAGGATAGGAAGCAAACCACAATTTCCAGTTCCTCATTATTGGGCTCTTCTTTTGTTCTTCTCCTTTGTCCTCCAGGATCACTCTTGGCAACCAACTGGATGGGATCCATTTGCTGGACCCCGATGTGGTCGCTCAGTTCAAGCAATGGTACCCGGACGGAATTATTTCCAAGCCTAAGAACATGTAAGGCTGCACCAAAGAGAGGCTGCAGCAATGGACTAAGAGAAGTGGACAACTGCCATGGGCTCCCGTCGTTGGCTGAAAATGGAGGCAATGCAAAGAATGTGTATATTCTAATCTTTTAATAAAATTGGTGTTTTTCTAGAGCTGAAGGCCATCGGGGATTAGCAGGACACCTGCCGGACGAAATACTTTCCTGCAACTATTTGAGTGAGCCCACTTTGCTGCCAGAAAAGCAAATGCAAACTACATTTGCACCATCTGAGCCATGGTGGCGCAGTGGTTAGAGTGTAGTACTGCAGGCTGCTTCTGCTGACTGCCAGCTGACTGCAGTTTGGCAGTTCGAATGTCTCACGGTTGACTCAGCCTTCCATCCTTCCCAGGTGGGTAAAATGAGGACCCAGATTGTTGGGGGCAATATGATGACTCTGTAAACCAGGGGTGTCAAACTCAATTTCATTGAGGGCCATATCAGGATTATGTTTGACCTTGGGGGTGGGGGTGGCCAGGGTGGGCGTGGCCAGCTCTACATCCGTTTTCACCCGCGATGGTCTCCTGGAGTCCTTTACCAGTAAAAATTACACTTGGTGGACGCACACAACCCTTCCGAGCTCCATTTTTGATGGCACAGATACTATGGGCTGGTCCTTTGATGTTTCCAGAACGGCCCCATGGGCCAGATCTAAGCACCCCGCGGGCCAGATCCGGCCTGCGGGCTTGAGTTTGACATCCCTGCTGTAAACCGCTTAGAGAAGACTGTAAAGCACTGTAAAGCGATATATAAGTCTAAGTGCTACTGCTAGTGCTATATAGCATGTTACTATTTCTATGGCAGAGTTCTCCAATCTGATTCCCCTCCCAGATGGACTGGGGCTCCAAGGAATATAGCTAGTCCTCAAATTACAACCGTTCATTTAGTTACAACATTGCTGAAAAAAAGGGACTTATGGAACATTTTTCACACTCACAATGGTGCATCCCCCCGTGGTCACGTGATCAAAATTCAGACACTTGGCAAATGATTCATACTTATGATGGTTGCAGTGTCTTTTGTGACTTTCTAACAAGCAAAGTTGATGGGGAAGCCAGATTCACTTAACAACTGGGTTACTAACTTAACTGCAGGGATTCACTTAGCAACCATGGTGAGAAAGTTCATAAAATGCGGCAAACTCACTTAACAAATGTTTTAGCAACAGGGCTCAATTGTGGTCATAAGTCAAGGACTACCTGTATCCAGATGACAGCAGGGAGTCTAATCAGAGAGGTAGTCCTCAACTTACAAGTCCTTTAAGTGACCGTTTGAAGTCACAACGGTACAGAAAAAAGGGACTTGTGACCATTTTTCATGTTTAACGACCGTTGCAGGGTCATGTGACTTATCTTTTGCGACCTTCTGACCGGCAAAGTCAAGGGGGAAGCCAGATTCAAACTTAACCACTGCAGTGTATTCCGTTCACAAACGTGGCAAGAGAAAAGTCATAAAATGGGACAGAACTCGCTTGGCCAATTTCTCACTTTAGCAAGACACACATTCTGGGCTCAATTGTGGCCGTTGAGGACTACCTGTATCACTGGGCAACATTGAGCGGTGGTGGTATTCAAATTTTTTTACTTCCACTTCTGTGGGCGTGGCTTGGTGGGCGTGGCAGGGGAAGGATACCTGTACCACCTGCTCCTGTTCTTCTACCTCCTCCTCTGCCTGTTCTCCTACTTCCTCCTGTGCTTCCTCTTTAATGGCTATTCGTGGTTTACTGATTTTATGTTTCGGGACTATTTGCTGGATTCCTGTTCCAGTTTATCCCACCCAACGTGCTCAAGAAATTTTGCATTAAAACTACAATAAACATGAGATGTGCCTTGATCCCAAAATCTAAGTGATCTATGGTTGGCCTCATAACCTACAAAACATAACTTCTTAGCTCTATGTTGCCCTTTCAGTCTTACTTGTGAGGGAATATGCACCCATGCTGGAGCTCCAAATGTGTGTAGGTAACTTAAATTTGGCTTTCTGCCATGCCAACGAGTGAATGGCAATTCTCCAGTTGTTGTGTTAACTACATTGTTTAAAACATGATTACTACGCATGATGACTTCACCCCAGTGTTTCAGGTAAACCTGAATCAGATAACATAGTGCGAGCCATGGCTTGTTATGTTTGCCCTCTTCGTTCTACAAAGGAGTTATGTTGTGGTCTGTAAGGTGCAGAATGTTTATGCTCAACACCAGCCAATTTCAACATAGTTTGGAATCTTTTGTTAACAAATTCAGTCCCATTATCAGTGACTAATGTAATTACTTTACTTTTCATTTTTCTCTCATCAAACCTTAGCCAGTTAAAGAAATGTTGGAATGTTTCTGTTTTGTTTTTCATGAGATAGTAGAAACCGTATCGTGAGTAATGGTCCATAATACTCAAAATATAGCAGGCACCTCCTAAACTTGGTTTCTTAGGACCAATTATGTCAGCAAAAACAACCTCTAAAGGTTCTTTCGTCTTAAACCCATTTAGTCTGTTTGCAGGAGTAACCTTACTTTTCTCTTGGCTACAAGCATTACAGTTTAAATACTTGCTACAGGGTTTCAATTTTACTCCCTCTGACAATTCAACAGTTTGTTTGAGCATTTTGAAATTAATGTGCCCGAAACGTCTATGCAGTAAATGTATACATTCATCATGTGGCTTAACATTGTTATAAACTGTGTTAGCCATCTTCAACTGGTCATCATGTATCACATATAAATCATTCTCTAAATTAGCAGTAACACTTTTACCCTCTTTCTCTGTTATACAGTTATCTCCCCTAAAGGTTACTACATAACCAAGATTAACTAAAGCCCTTACTGATAGCAAATTAAATTTCAGTTTAGGTACATATAACATAGTTAAATGTTCGTTTATACAAGAACAATATGCAGTACCTTCACCAGATGCTTTAATCTTCCATCCATTTGCTAATGATACATGTAGTTTACTTGCGGACATCTTTATAAACCTTTTTCTATCTTTAGTAATGCATTGTGATGCTCCACTATCAACAACCCACAAATCATGGTTTACAGTTGAATTGCTAGACATAGCTAAACTAACATTCTTTTTGGCCTTCTGGTGTTTACTAGTATTCTGTTGTTTTCCCTTCTTACAGAATCTAGCTATATGTCCCCTAGCCCCACAAGAAAAACATTTCCTAACAGTATAGGCAGTTGAAGACAAATCCTCTTCTTGTGGTTGTTCCTTCCTATCCAGCCGTCTTCTTCCAGTTATGTCAGTCAATGTCAGTTTATCTCTGGGCAGGACTTCCAGTGAAGATACATAATCATCATAACTTTCATCCAACGAGGAAAGAATGATGTAAACTTGATGCAGCTCTGAAAATATCAGTTCTTTTTCATGTAGCTCTTGAAAAGATCTTTTCATGAAGTTCAAATGAGCTAACGTATCTCCACCTTTCAGAAGACGTGATCTAAACAGTTTACGTGTAAGATGTATGTGTGCACCTACACTGTCACGAACATAAATCTTCTTCAAATTCTCCCAACACCTAGCAGCAGACTCTTCTCCACGAATATGGACTAGCTGCTGGTCACTCAGTGTTAGTCCAATTATACAAAGAGCTCGTTCGTTGTTCTGTTTAAAGTCAGCAAGCTTCTTGGCATCGTCCTCATTTTCTGGATCCCAAGCATTTACATCTGGTGGGTCTTGAACTACATTCCATAACCCTTCTCTACGCAGAAGTAGACTGCACTTCATAGACCAGGAAACAGTTTGTTCCATCCAACTGGGTTATCAGTGATAGACTTGTAGACTTGTTGAAGTGTCTTGTGCCATCTTTACCAGGATAGTAACCCACCATTAAACAGTAAACAGCTGTCTGTATACAGTATTGTATATTCACACCAACTCTCAGTTATCTGAGCCTGGTATGGCCTGGGCCCATAACCAGTGTTGAGGTAATTCCCCGTTAGGAGAATGAGCGCATACAGAGAGACGTATTGAGAGAAGTGTTGAACAATACACACACAGCACACAAATACACTGTACAGTAAATGTAGGTTTTTACTTTCAATAGCAAAGTTCAAACAAGCAGTCCAAAGTCATTCACGGTTAAATCAGTCAGTTTTCAGTCCAGGGATAATCCAATAACAAAGTCCAGTGTCAAAAACAGTTCAGTATCAGACTTCCATCAAATCCAGGAATAGCAGTCAATTATTAGGAACGGCAATACTCTCCAACAGAAGGAAAACAGAGACTCACTGAGACTTCTTCTGAGACTAAGACTAAGACTAAACAACCCAGGTTTCTGGCTCCATCTTATGGTCATTTGATGAAACCACACCCAATTACACTTTTAGGATTCTCTTAAAGAGACAGCATTAAAATGTCTATCCTGGTTTATATATTGTCCAACCCAAATAGCTGTTAGGTGACTCATATTCCTAACACATGCAATCAATAAAACAAGGATTGTACATAGAACAATATCGGACC